CTCTGAGAGACAGTTGCCGATGATGCTGCAGGCTGCCACACTGGGGTGGGGATGAAAAGGGATGGGAGAGTGGGTGGAGAATACAGGAGTGGCTGAGTTGAGTGTCTGCGGGTGCGAGCGAGCAAGCTTTGAGAGACAGCTGTTTATGATGCTGCAGGCTGCCACACTGGGAGGGGATGAGAAAGAGAAAGAGTGGGTGGAGACAACAGGAGTGGTCGGGTTGGGGATGCACTCAGTGCTCACGATGCGCACAAACTTGGTCTGCGGGTGCGAGCGAGCAAGCTTTGAGAGACAGCTGTTTATGATGCTGCAGGCTGCCACACTGGGGTGGGGAGGGAATGAAACGGGATGGGACAGGGGGTGGAGACAACAGAAGCAGCTGGGTTGGGGGTGCACTCAGTGCTCACTATGCGCACAAACTTGGTCTGCAGGTGCGAGTGAGCGAGCTCTGACAGGCAGTTGCTGATGATGCTGCAGGCTGCCACACTGGGGTGGGGAGGAGATGTGGGATGTGATAGGAGAGAGATTGGGAGAATGGTCTTTGGGCATGACTCGTTTTCCACTCTGCCCGCAGACTTGGTGTGCACGTGGCATGGCACTTGCCAGAGAGGCAGCTGGCTGGCTGGCAGGTGATGCTCTAGGCTGCCATGCTTGGGAGAGGATTGGGTGGGACAGGAGACAGGGCAGGGAGGTTGTAGTAGGATGTTAGAAACACCAGCACTTAACCTTCTGGGTTGAAAGGACAAGTAGAATTCATGGTTCAGCGAACCCACACCCACAACCCCCATGCACGTTAGCAACAGCGGATGCACTGGTTTCTCACTGTGAACACAACACAGCCTTGGGGTGCAGGGTGGGATGCAGGCAGGACAAACACGCACCTGGCTGGCAGTAACGATGCACCCCATGTGCATGCTGCATGCTCTGATGCAGCCGCAGCGGCATGCCACAAGCTACAATGCAATGCAGCTGTCTTTGAGAAAGATAACCCATCACCCACACAGGTGACTGAACCCCCACCTCCGTGGCTTGGCTCATGTGTGCCCCATGCTTCCAGACACAACCCAAGTAGAGCAGCAACCCACCTGTCATGCATGGGCCACCCACCCACCTGTCATGCATGGGCCACCCACCCACCTGTCATGCATGGGCCACCCACCCACCTGTCATGCATGGGCCACCCACCCACCTGTCTCGGCAGAAGAGCACGACCATCCACACGCTCTGGCTCTCCTCAGCACTTCCCTCACAAACCGTCCGGCCCCGTGACTCATGTGTGTGCTTCAATGCTATGCAAAGACACGCACGACCCAAGCTCCAACCCACCTTTCATGCATGGGGCACCCACCCACCTGTCTCGGCAGAGGTGCACCACCCACACGCTCTGGCTCGCCTCCGTCACCTCCCTCAAAGACCGTCCTGCCCTGTGATGTGAGTCCTGTGCTTCAAGACACTTCCCAAGTAGCAGTCCACCTGTCCTCCTGTCCTGCAAAGGACACCCACTGACCTGTCACGGAAGAGGTGCACCACCACCCACACGCTCTGGCTCGCCTCTGTCACCTCCCTCACGAAGTCCGGCCCCGTAATCCTCTCCACCCCTCCGTACCGCGGCCGTGATGCTGCTGCCTTTAGCTCCGCCACCCGCCGCCTCCTGGGAGGGTTAAACCGCAAGGAGAATGGAGAGAGAAGGGGGGACGAGAGGGAGAGTGGTAGGAAGGGGTGGGGAGGGGGGGGAGGCGCGGGAGGTAGGCAGTCATATCAGACTCCAGTAATCCGCTCCACACCTCTGCACCGCAGCAGTCCTGCCTTGTTCCTCAGCTCTGCGGATCGCCACCTCATGGGGGCTGGGAAACAGCCGGAAACGACGGACAAAGGTTGGGGCGGGGAGGGAAGAGGGTACATAGAAGACGAGGGGCAGGGAGGCTGCTCCAGTGATCCGCTCCTGGGTTCTGTATCCGCCACTTCCCTAGCCTGGCTGGGGTGACTCTGCCCTACCCTCAGCTTCTCAGCTCTATAACGCACCGCCTTTTAAGAGGGGACTGAGAGGGCAGGGGAGGGGAGGCGGGGTAGGGGGAAGGGGGAATTGAGGGGGATATGGCAGGAGTGGGTAGCGGAGCAGAAAAAAGCTGGGGTTCAGCTGGAAAGGCACTTGATATCTTGGAACCCAGCACATCCCCGTCGTCATTCACTTCCACATCCCATTCCCATTCCCATCCCCAAGCATAACCCCTCGCACTTGCCAATTTCCATACACATCAACATCCGCATTCCCATTCCCATCCCCATCCTCTCATGCATATCAACTTCACAATCTCCATTGCACTCCGGCTTTCTCAAATGCCCTCACATTCGTCTCACATCCATTCCCCAAACCCTTCCTACGTTTCCCATTCACTCTCATTACATTCCCACCTTTGCCCCAACTACGCGTCCAACCCACGTGTACATCCCCACGTGTACATTCCACGTGTCATTCCACCTGCACTCCTTGCCTTGCCCTATGCCACGTGTCCATGTCAACCCCACCTGTACTCCTCCATGAACCGGTCATCATCCACGTCATCCTCCAGGTCGTCCAGCTCATCAGCCGTGCGTGTATCCAGCTCGTCCGTGCGTTTCCTCTCCTCTGCCGCCTCCCATGCCGCTGTCTTGGGCTTCTCACGTGGAGCAAGGTTGCCGAATTTCACCTGGTAGGGGGGAGGGGACAAGCAGCAAGGGTTGGAGAATGACTTTTGAGGCGCCTCACAAGCCAGCTCATCAGCCGTGCGTGTGTCCAGCTCGTCAGTGCGTTTCCTCTCCTCTGCCGGCTCCCATGCCGCTGCCTTGGGCTTCTCCCGCGGAGCAAGGTTGCAAAATTTCACCTGCTCGCGGAATTAGGCGAATGCGTCGACAATATCGTGGTTCGAAACGCACCAAGAGACAAAAGCAGAAGTGGAGACGAAATTGCAGCAAGGAAGAGGGAGGACGGAAGTTGCTTGGGCTTTGAGTGATCCCAGGAGGAAATATGGCCCTCCGCCGGCGTACCGATCCCCCTAAGGTCCCGAGGCAAGCAGGAGACGGCTCTGAGTGCAAACCACAGAGCAAGACCAAGCAACGGTAGCCAGCAGTAAGAATCCGAAGCAGCAACTAGATGAACGTCTGGAGCTTCGAAAACCATTCCATGCAATCTCCCTTCCTTTCAGTTTCTGCTTGTTCATAAATCAAACTCGGAACAGAACAGGTCTCCCATGAGCCAGCGGAATGATGCAGCGTGGCTGGTTCGCCCCTGCCCTGATGATATCAAATTACACCGTCGCTGAGCACCATAAGAAAGAAAACAATGACTTAATGTGACTTCACGGCACATCGGCACAGAGCGACAGCACCTGAAGGTCCTCCCATTGCGTCACGGTACCCGTGACCGTGCAGAATAAAATGACCAGTTCTCGATTCTCGTATCACGCCCGGATACGTCTGGTTCTTGGGTCCCCAATGAGAAGAAACAATCACTCAGGCAAGTATTGAGGTGCGTAAAAACTATCTGGACATTCGATTTGATCTTCTTATCATGTATGATTGAGTCCGATTCCAGGGTCCCGAAAACTGATCGACGTTGATGTGTCTTGGCACTGATTCCAAATTCCCGTAGGAAAACGACTCTAACGCATCATCATTGACCTGTGAGACTTTCTCCGGTGTCTGCTGGATGTGATATCTCAGAATCCATCTGTATACCACTGCGAAATACAAAGATAAGAGGCGAGCGATTGCTATGTCCCACTGTGTTCATCCTTAGCGGGAAAAGCGAGCGACATTACTATCTAGAGGTTCTCCCACTCCGTGGAGGCGTGCTTTACGTCGACTCAAGCATCACGAGTGAGCGCTCCCTCCCACTGTGTTCATAGTAATCAGCAGGAGCGGGCGACATTAATACCTGAAGGTTCTCCCACTCCGCGGAGGTGTGCTTTACATCGACTCAAGACACATCTGAAGAAGCTGGCACGCAACTTCATCTAAAAAACGCGAGCAAGCACACCGATGGTTTACAGGAGGGCGAGCCGCGTGACTACCTGAAGGTCCTCCCACTCCGTCGTCGTGCCTTCTGGCTCCTTGTAGACCGTGTGGTAGTCCGCCATAGTCTCGCGCCACTGCGAATAACTTTGTAATAAAAAAAGTAAAAAAATAAACCGGCGATCGAAGGTGACTTAATAATCCCTGCGCGTTTCGTAACGATCGCAGCTTGTCGGGAACGGCGTGTCACAGCTAACGTTACTAGAGCAGCAAGCGGTGCCTTCTTTCTGCTGCAGCAGCGCAGCGCAATGGTGGGAAAGCACAGCACTCCCACACGACGGACTTCATGGGAATATCTATGGGGGATTGGGATTGGGAGTTCCGCTTGATATTCCTTCCGAGCTTGGTCTGGTGGAGTGTTCCGCACGGCCTTGGGATTGCCGCCACCACCACGCCATTGCCGCCACGCCAAGTTTCGGTCCATTCACCGACGTGTTCTCGTCGTACGACAACTCGTTACGCGCAACTATTAAAAGCCCGATGATTCCGTACTGCTAAAAAACTCAATGAGAAGGCTGGATTTGTACACTTTATTCTATGCTTCGTGTTCACACGTTACAGCCATAAGGCTTGAAGAGTGTGCCTAAAGGCTTGTGTCCTAACTTAACTATCACTCGTGATAACAGCCTGATAGATCCTGCGATGTGTGTTACCGTACCAATGACTGCAAGCCAGCGAGAGATGCCCAAGTGTTATTGATCCTTGTCGTAAGACTTCAGCGATATGTTGCTGCTTTCCCTGTAACGTGCAAGAGCAGGAATGGGATGTGTTAGTATGTGGATAGTGCACAAGGAGATAATGGGATAGAACATGCACATATAGTACAAACGGGCAACAACAAACAGGCGAACGATTATGGAGCAAAAGACACATGCCTCTCTTGAAAAGAAATCCCAATTTACGGCCACCCCATCACAACCACCACCCCCAGGCATACTCAATCCCTCCAATCAGAATAAGCCACCCGACCGTCGCGATGGCAGGAGGCGGGTGAATTCGTCTGCAGGCGGCTGCTCCTCCTCCCCCTTCCCCTTGCCCTCCTTCTCCCCCTCCTCCTCATCGCGGAGCGTAGACACGAGTGTGGATGGGTGGGCGGAGAGGGCAGAGGTGGTGGAGAGGGGGAGAGGAGCGTGCGGGAACAGGACGTAGTGCTGCACTGCAAAGATGATGTCAAAGGCTATTGTTTCCTGGGAGGGGGTGAGCAGTGGGGAGGGAGAGTTGGGGGAGGGGGGAAAGGAGATGGGAGAGGAGGGCGTAGTGCTGCAGCGCAAAGATGATGTCAGCGAGCGGTTACTGTTTCTTGGAAGGGGGAGCAGTGAGTTGAGAGAAATTGGGGGGGGAAGGGGGGGGAAAGAATAAGTGGGGGTTGGTAGGGATTGAGGAGCACGTAATGCTGCACTGCAAAGATGATGTCAAAGGCTACTGTTTCCTGGAAGGGGGGAAGACAGTGGGGAAGAGGAAGGGAGGGTGAGAAGGGATTGGAGTGGAGTGCTGCATGGCGACCATGAAATGAACTCAAAGGCCCTTATCTCAAGAAGAGAGGTGGGCAGTGGGGAAGGCGCACAGGACGTGTAACACAGCAATTGGGATAGCACAAATTAGCTGAAGACTATGGCCGACAGACTGTAGGAAGTAGAAAAGAAAAAACATCGATTAGAATGGACTAAGAAAAATTTGGTTCCAACGGACCCATTGTCAAACTACACTACACAACACCACACCACACCACAGCACACCGCACCGCAGCACAGCACAGCACAGCACAGCACAGCACAGCACAGCACAGCACAGCACAGCACAGCACAGCACAGCACAGCACAGCACAGCACAGCACAGCACAGCACAGCACAGCACAGCACAGCACAGCACAGCACAGCACACCACACCACACCATTCCACACCACACCACGTCACACCACACTGCACCCATGCATACCCCTGAGAGTGCGAGCTTGCCCACGTTGCCGGTGAAGTTGACGAATGAGCCTGTGAGATCGATGGGGAGGAGTGAGGAGTGGGTGGGGGAGAAGGGGGGAGTGACGAGTGGGGGGGAGAAGAGGGGGAGTGGGGAGAGAGTTGGAAAGAGGTTGAGAGCGGCGTTGGCTTAAGTTGTGTGTACACACTCATGAGGGACGAGGCAGGCAACCCATTGTGGGTGATGCACTGCACACACATCATGAGAAGAGAAGCGACGCCGTGCCACCAGTGTCATGCCCGTACATATGCATGGATGATTCCTTTGAAGTGCACACAAGGGTTATTTCACAGCAGCCAAGGGAAGAGGCGACTCACTCTGGTCAATGGACTGCACAAACATCATGAGCAGCGAGGCCGTGCCGCCTGTCAGGTCCATGAGCACATTGCTGATGCTATCAACGGGGCCATGAAGGGGTAAGACTCAAGGGGAAGAGGCGACTCACTCTGATCAATCGATTGCACGAACATCATGAGCAGCGAGGCCGTGCCGCCTGTCAGGTCTATGAGCACATTAACTTGAACCGGCTAGTCTCCACACGATAGCCAGAGCCATCCCTCACATGACATGACTGAAGGGCCGACTCACTCTGATCGATGGACTGCACAAACATCATGAGCAGCGACGCAGTGCCGCCTGTCAGGTCCATGAGCACGTTGCTGATGCTCCACCCCACCGTGCTGCGCCGCTGCCAGTTGAACCACGCCTGGCGGTTATGAGTGGGAGGGGAGAGAGAGGCGAGGCGGCGGGAAGGGGGCAGGGGCGTGGGGAAGAAAGACAGAAAGAGGAAGCACTGCTGATGATGCCCACGTTGCTGATGCTTCACCCCACCGTGCTGCACCGCTACCAGTTGAACCACGCCTGGCAATGATAGTGGGAAGGCGGGGAGACTCGGACTCATTGGGCCACTCATTGTGTACAAACGTGGCACGTGACGGCCACACAACGAAATGCCCGCAATATGAAAATCACTTCTGATGGCCACACGAGAATTCTCAAAAGTGATTTCCAGATGGCCACAAGAGGAAATGCCCAATGGAACACCATGCAGGTGCCATGGTTCAATACGTGGCAGCAACTGTTAGTAAAAAACACATTGAGATGAGTACTTTGTTTGTGTGCTTATGTGTAAAAATTCGGTGGTAACCGGTTGCGGCGTATGAGCTTTCTTCAGACCGATACGAAAATGCCCGCAATGGAAATCACTTTTGATGGCCACACGAGAATTCTCAAAAGTGACCAGATGGCCACAAGAGGAAATGGCCGCAATTGAAAAGCATACCGAGGGACACAAAACCAGAGGGTAATGCACATAATTGCTATCTGTATGCAGCAGTATTTATCTGGTGACGGCGCAGTCCATATGTATTGGTGAGTAATTGCATACAACGAAATAACTGCAAACAAGGATTGAATTGCATACAAGATTTTTATTGCATAAGCGTGCACCTGGGGAATGTACTTGATGGTGGTCATGACCACCTGAATGTAGCTATGTGTGGGATGCATGGACTGTAAATGTGTATGCTCGAGGCACGTGTGGGGCAGTAACCAAAGTAACCGTTACAGCTCAAATAGCGCACCTGGGGAATGTACTTGATGGTGGTCATGACCACCTGAATGTAGCTGCTTGCACCATGGTGGGTGCAGGGCGGGGCAGGGGTAAACATGCAGGCACAAAGTCAACTGTGGAGAATGAGCGATGAAACGGGCAAGGTGACTTTTGAGTCGACTGAAAGTGACTTTTGAGTCGACTCAAAAGGGTAAACATGCAGGCACAAAGTCAACCGTGGAGAATGAGCGATGAAACGGGCAAGGTGGAGACAGACAGTCGTCTTGGAACTTCGAGTGCGAACGGAGAAGGGATGGATGAATGGGGTGGAAATGGAGGGATGATGCAGGCGGTGGAAAGAAACGTTGTGTACTGTGTGATGTGGTATGTCGTGGTGTGGTGTGGTGTGGTGTGGTGTGGTGTGGTGTGGTGTGGTGTGGTGTGGTGTGTTGTGGTGTGGTGTGGTGTGGTGGAGCTGAGTGTAACGCACTTGAAGGTGGTGACGAGGCCGAGCCAGTCATGGTGGAAGGAGGAGTGCAGCGAGGTGAGGAGAGCGAAGATCCACACTCCCAGCGAGATGGCCTTGCACGTCCATGACACCCGCTGCCCTCCCCTCTGCACGCATTGAAAAGGAAAGAAGGCGAGCATGGGGGAAGGCGAGCATCACATCATACACCATGCACCACTCACACCATACATCATACATCACTCACACCATACATCATACATCACTCACACCATACATCATACATCACTCACACCATACATCATACATCACTCACACCATACACCACTCACATTGTACACCATGCACTGCCACACAGTGAAGGCAGTGAGGGCGACGGCATGCACTGAGAATGCCACGTCACTGGCTGACACCGGAATGAGCTGCCACACCAGCCACGGGGGAAGAGCGGGGAACAGGGGGAGGAGGGAAGGGGGCTGAGAAGGAGGGAGTGGCAGGGTGGGCGGAGGAGTGGGGGGTATGCTGAGAATGCCACGTCATTGGCTGAACCAGGATGAGCTGTCACGGGATGAGCTGTCACCACAACCACAGGGAGAGGGAGCGGGGAATGGGTGCATTGGGGGATTTATATAAATAAGGAGTGGGATGGGAACGGGAGGCTTCAATCACTAACAAGCAAGAAGTCACGAATCATACACTCACCTCCCCTGGGCCATACATACTTGGCATGGTACCCTTTAAGTTGACTTACATAATGACCCATTCACCCCCTCTGCGCTGTCGCTCTCACCTCATCAGCCACCTGCAGTGAGCCACTCACCTCCTCTGCGCCATATTTGGCGTGGTACTGCTGCTGCACGAGAGGCGAGAAGAACATGGATGCGTTGAAGATTAGGTACGCCGTGTGCTTGGTGAGGTACCCCTGTGAGGCCCTTGAGTCGTGACCCATCAGTCACACACACGGGATAAGCCACCACCCACACACACACTCACCTCCTCTGCGCCGTACTTGGCGTGGTACTGCTGCTGCACGAGCGGCGAGAAGAACACGGATGCGTTGAAGATTAGGTATGCCGTGTGCTTGGTGAGGTTGAACACCAGGAAGTCAAAGTTGAGCCCGATCACACTGCGAGGGGAGAGGGAGAATGGGTTGAGGAAAGGAGAGGAGAGGAGAGGGGCAGATGGGGGGAGGAGCATGGCAGTGTGCAATGCAACGAGGTACGCCGTGTGCTTGGTGAGGCTGAACACTAGGAAGTCAAAGTTGAGCCCGATGACACTGCGAGGGGAGAGGGGAGGGGGACATGAGAGGGGAGAGGAGAGGGGTTGGCATAAGAGGGAGGAGAGAGCGTGACAGTGCGCAGAGGTACGCCGTGTGCGTGGCGAGGTTGAGTTGAACGCGAGGAAGTCGAAGTTGAGCCCGATGACACTGCGAGGGGAGAGGGGAGAGGAAGCGAGTGGAGGGGGGGGGTGGAAACGAGGAAAGGACGGGTATGTATGGCAGTGCGAGAGACGAGGTGGGCCGTGTGCTTGGTGAGAAGAATGAACGCGAGGAAGTCAAAGTTGGGCCCGATGACGCTCCAACGGGAGAGGGAGAGTGGGGGGGAGGTGTGTGCGGGATTTGAGCGTAAGGGAGAGAGAGCATTGCAGTGTCAGAGGCGATGCATGTGGTTGAAGGCCAGACAATGGAAGGTAAGCCCGATAACACTGCGAGGGGAGAGGGGAGAGAGGGGGAGGAGGTGTGTGCGGGATTTGATGCAAGGGGGGGAGAGCATTGCAGTGTCAGAGGCGATGCAGGTGGTTGAACACGAGGAACCCAAAGTGGAGGCTGATGAGAGTGCGAGGGGAGAGGGGATTATGTGAAGAGGGAAGGGGTCTGAAATGGGGAGCGAGCATGGCAAGTTGAACACTAGGAGGTTGGTTGAACAGGTTGGTTGAACAGGAGGAGGATGAGCAGGAGGAGGATGAGCAGGAGGAGGATGAGCAGGAGGAGCAGCAGCAGCAGCAGAAGGACCGCGAGCGTTTGAGACGTCTCATAAGACGTTTCAAAACCGATCTGCACGAGACCCCAGACGCACCTCTTGCATTTCCACTTGAGCGGGGCCTGCGAGTAGAAGGAGGGCGACCACACAAGGTGGCCTTTGAGTCGACTCGTGACAGCACACACCTCTCTTCCCCTTCCCAGTTCCAAACACTTGAATCGCACCTGACCTCATTGCACCTCTGAACCTGCACACAGCACTCCCTTTGCAACCACGCGCACCTCTTGCGTTTCCAGTTTTTAGCCCAAGCGCACCTCTTGCGTTTCCAGTTGAGCAAGGCCTGCGGGTAGAAGGAGAGCGACCACACGAGGAAGGAGAGCCATCCCAGCGACTCGTACAGCACGTGGAGGCTCAGCGAGTGCCACGCGCACGCGCTCGAATCGCACGCCACACCTGCTGCCGTTGCTGCTGCCGCCGCTGCTGTTGTTACTGCTGCTGTTGCTGCCATGTCAGAAGCTGGCCCTAGAGTGATTGATGGGTTAGATGAAGCGAGTAGTAACGAGGATGCCAGTGCAGCGGGTGTGGCAATGAGAAATGCTACTAATGTTCCTACTGCTGCTGCTGCTATTTTCCGGCCGGAATCTCCTAAAGGAACAACTGAGAGGAGATCTGATCCTACGCTTGGCTGGTCTAACGACACCGAGCAGGAGCGGGAAACTAACGCGTACGTATCAGCCTCCCGAAAGCAGCATTCAGCGAAACTGAATTTGTCAGAAACTCTTCTTTGGGTCGTCCGAGCTAGTTTCGCAGGATAAAGCGACGAGCAGGAAGATCCAATAGCGGGGACAATGGGAATGTATTTACATGAAGGTGATGGTGCTGAATGGCAAGCGATGCTGCCTATAACGGGTATATGTTTTCTGATTAGCAACACCCTAAACGAGGCCCCGGATCTCGTGGGAACGAGAAAGACGGCCAGGAATGGAGAAGGGGACAACGCGGGCATAAAAGCTTTCCGTCCAGGCAACTGTACAGTGACCCGAAGATATGCAACTGGGCAACTGTACAGTGGCCCAGTGAATCGTTATTGTATTCGACGTCGAGCAGAGAAAAAAAAAACTATGTAGATTGAAAGAATGGCAACACTCTAGGCTGACGCGTCGCACGAATCGAGGGTAGGAGTCGGATATGCGGCGCGCGAGAGAGAGTCGACGACCAATTCAAGCGAAGTTGCGCCGGAAGCTGCGGGCATGGCGAACCTGGTCTGCAGCATTCAGCCCTGAGACCCTCTGTCGTGTCGTATCTAAAAAGTATCGTGTTACTAACCCGTCGGAACACCAGGTGTATATTAACAAACAAAAATCCTCTGCCAAGTCCAGCCTACATGGTCAAGCTCAGGTCAGGATGGGAACGCTCGACCCATCACAATGAAGAAAGGGCAGGAAATGCGGCGGCCAAATTTCAGACTCCAAGGCGTTCAATGGCGGGACGCAACCAAAGGAGCCGACGAATCTGGCCAGTTGAAGCAAAATGATGAAATTCAGTGCTCCTGGCGACAGTCGTAGTCAGCCATGGCCGTGCGAATTGATACGAGCTGGAAAGATCAAGCATTGCACCCTTGGCTGTGCTTGGCACCAATCGGGCTGATGAGGAGCAACTCGGTATTAAACGTTCGGTATCAAATATGCTCTATACATAACACTACCTGAGGCACACAACTCGAACGATATTATTCGCCAATATAGAAGAAATAGTATTTAAGATAAGGAGAAAATGTGTGTTGCAGAAGATAACCTTATTTATTTAAGCACAATAGAAAATGATCCGTTGCATTAGTACATCCTAGACTCGATATCCAACTTTTTTCTTAATACTTTGAAGTGGACCTTGGTGCATGAGGTATTGTAGAAGCACAATTGCTCTCGCGAAGTGTATTTTGTTACGTTGCCGAATCGACGACAACCGCGAGGGTCGCAACCAACGATGACGTGTCAGAGTACTGGCCACGAAATGCAAGCCCATGGCTCAACATAATAGATTGCCATAAATTCACATTCCAAACCAAACCATACTAGTATCCGTGAGGTAATCGCTAATTTTCTTAGTATTCTCCCTCGGTTGCCAATAGATACTCTCATCCCCGCTTCAACTGCTGCGTACCCTTCCGGCCTGTGAGGAGACGGTGAGGCGCGTTGCTGCATTCGCGTACCGCACTGTACGCTACTGTACCGTACCCAGGGAAATGTACGTGGTACTTCAGAACGGGGAAAAGGGCGGGTTCGGGTTTTGAAGCACGGACAACGTTCTGCTAACTATTCGCCCTTCTGCCAACTCCGCCCTCGCGTCTCAGCACACCCTTTCGCACCCTTGCACACCCTTGCACACCCTTTCGCACCCTCGTCCACCCTTTCCGTTCACCCTCGTTCCTTGCCCTTCCTACCCTCGCTACCCTTTGGTCCCCCCTCATCGTTACCCCCCTCACCTGCTTCCGCTGCGCCTTCCATCCCGCCCCTCCGCCTCCCCATGCGTCCGCCGTCCCGCCGTGCCTCCGCGCAGCCAGCGGCGAGCGCGGCGAGTGCGCGCCATGGCGGGGACCGCCGGGGCGGTCGAGAGCGCGGCATCAGCAGCGCTGCGCGCGGTGCTGCAGCGAGTGGCGCAGGCAGCGGAACGGGCCGGCAGGAACGCCGGACAGGTGTGATTGCGTGTGGTGTGATGGTGGGTGGTGTGATGGCGGGTGATGTGATAGCGGGCCGTGTGATGGCGGGTGATGTGATAGCGGGCCGTGTGATGGCGGGTGATGTGATAGCGGGCCGTGTGATGGCGGGTGATGTGATAGCGGGCCGTGTGATGGTGGGTGGTGCGGAAGGGGTCACCATGCAATGCATGTGGAGAGGAGGCAGCCGCGGTGCAGGTGCTGCAGCGAGTGGTGCAGGTGCTGCAGCGAGTGGTGCAGGCAAAAGAAGGTGCGGGCAAAAGAAGGTGCGGGCAAAAGAAGGTGCGGGCAAAAGAAGGTGCGGGCAAAAGAAGGTGCAGGCAAAAGAAGGTGCGGGCAAAAGAAGGTGCGGGCAAAAGAAGGTGCGGGCAAAAGAAGGTGCGGGCAAAAGAAGGTGCGGGCAAAAGAAGGTGCGGGCAAAAGAAGGTGCGGGCAAGAGCGTCTTGCAGGGTAGGGGGTAGTGCGGTAGGGGGTGGTGAAAGGGGTTGTTATGCATGCTCTAAGGCGCTCCAGTTCCGGCCGTTGTTCATTACCATTCGATACAGTCACTGCTCCAATCGATCTCCGTCTGTTCACTATTTCGTGTTCCATGCATCCGACCCTCAGGTTCGGGTGGTGGCGGTGAGTAAGACCAAGCCTGTATCGTTGCTTCGGGAGGTGTACGATGCGGGGCAGAGGCACTTTGGGGAGAACTACGTGCAGGAGATATTGGACAAGGCGCCTCAGGTGCGCCTCAGGTGGGCCTCAGGTAGGCTTCAGGTGGGCTTCAGGTGAATTTTGAGGCGGCTCGAAAATCTAGAACTTCGTGCAGGGATAGTGGACAAGGTGCCCAGATGGGCCTACATTGGGACACAGTTGGCTCTCTGCTGGGCCTCGATTGGGCCTCAGGTGGATCTCAGATTGATTTCATGTTGTCCCCAGGTGGGCTTCAGGTGAGAATGAGGTGGTTCTCACCAGACCAGATCCACCGTCATGAGAGTCTCTAGAGTTCTAGGTTCCTGGTGGTTTTTGAGTCGACTCAAAAATCGGTTCCTGGTGGTGCGTGGTGACTTTTGAGTCGACTCAAAAGTCGTCTCTAGAGTTCTAGGTTTCTGGTGCGTGTGGTGTGTGTCGAAGGTGCAGTGACGTGGCAGGTGTTTCAAGGCAGGGGGGGTTCGGTTTTGATGCTCCTGAAAACTAGAAGGTGCGGTGGCAGGCAGGCAGGCAGGTGTTTCGAGGCAAGATGGGGGGGTTGGTTGGTTGGTTGGTTGGTTGGTTGGTTCATGTGCTTCTCGTGACTCGTCCACCTGAGCCCCACCCGAGATTGCACTCAAATCTACACCACTCGCGGCGACTTGAGAGTAACAATGCGTGTGACAGCGTGTGTTTGTGTTTGGGTGTTTGGGGGGTGTGGTGCCATAATGCCATTCCTTCCTGCCTGGGTGGGCTACTGTGTGTGTGTGTGTGTGTATGTGTGTGTGTGTGTGTGTGTGTGTGTGTGTGTGTGTGTGTGTGTGTGCGTGCGTGTTTGTGTGGGGGTGTGGGTGGGGAGGGGGTTGTGTTGTGTGGCATTCTTGCCTGCGTGTGCTAATGTGCTCAACAGCTTCCACCAGACACCAAGTGGCATTTCATCTTTTCATTTCATCTTCATCTTTCCTGCCTGTGTGTGTGGATGTGTGTGGTCAACAGCTTCCACCAGACACCAAGTGGCATTTCATCTTTTCATTTCATCTTCATCTTTCCTGCCTGTGTGTGTGGATGTGTGTGGTCAACAGCTTCCACCAGACACCAAGTGGCATTTCATCTTTTCATTTCATCTTCATCTTTCCTGCCTGTGTGTGTGGATGTGTGTGGTCAACAGCTTCCACCAGACACCAAGTGGCATTTCATCTTTTCATTTCATCTTCATCTTTCCTGCCTGTGTGTGTGGATGTGTGTGGTCAACAGCTTCCACCAGACACCAAGTGGCATTTCATTGGTCACCTGCAGAGCAACAAGGCCAAGAGTCTCGTGTGTGAGTCGCACACACACCGCCACACAGTCACACAGTCACACAGTCACACAGTCACACAGTCACACAGTCACACAGTCACACAGTCACACAGTCACACAATCACACGGTCACACAGTCACACAATCACACGGTCACACAGTCACACAATCACACGGTCACACAGTCACACAATGACACGGTCACACAGTCACACAATCACACGGTCACACAGTCACACAATCACACGGTCACACAGTCACACAATCACACGGTCACACAGTCACACAATCACACGGTCACACAGTCACACAATCACACGGTCACACAGTCACACAATCACACGGTCACACAGTCACACAATGACACGGTCACACAGTCACACAATCACACGGTCACACAGTCACACAATCACACGGTCACACAGTCACACAATCACACGGTCACACAGTCACACAATCACACGGTCACACAGTCACACAATCACACGGTCACACAGTCACACAATCTCACAGTCACACAGTCACACAATCACACGGTCACACAGTCACACAATCACACGGTCACACAGTCACACAATCTCACGGTCACACAGTCACACAATCACACGGTCACACAGTCACACAATCACACGGTCACACAGTCACACAATCTCACGGTCACACAGTCACACAATCACACGGTCACACAGTCACACAATCACACGGTCACACAGTCACACAATCACACGGTCACACAGTCACACAATCACACGGTCACACAGTCACACAATCACACGGTCACACAGTCACACAATCACACGGTCACACAGTCACACAATGACACGGTCACACAGTCACACAATCACACGGTCACACAGGCACACAATCTCACAGCCCGTGGACTTAATCCATGGCTCGACCAACCATGTGCCGGCCAACCATGCTCGTTCTTCCTTGCATATGCGTCTGATCGATGGCCATGCGTGGTTGTTGTCTAGCCATGCTCGTGCTTCCTTGCATATGAGACGTGTTTGTTGTCTCACTACATGGTGCATCTCATTCTAACACCCCCTTCGTCTTCCCTCTCTTTCACTTCTTTTCTCCCCTCTCACTCCAATGCAATACTGCTGTCCCCCTTCTGCTGCCACTCCCTCCCGCTCCATCTCCCACTCGCCCTCCCCCTGCCCCATCTCGCATCTCCTGGCTGTCATCTCTGCTCGCACAACACCCACCACCACCGCACCCCACAACACCCACCACCACCGCACCCCACAACACCCACCACCACCGCACCCCACAACACCCACCACCACCGCATGTGGCTCGCACAACAACCACCACCGCACCCCACAACAACCACCACCACCGCACCCCACAACAACCACCACCGCACCGCCACATGCTGCTGCTGCCGCCAGCAGGAGTGCCGAGCCTCTACATGGTTGAGACAGTCGACAGCAGCCGGGTACGTGTGGGTGTGTGGGAATATGTGTGGGAACATGTGTGGGAACATGTGTGCGTGCATGTCCGTGTATGACTGTATATGTGTGCATGCATGCTGCCGCCAGCAGGAGTGCCGAACCTCTGCATGGTTGAGACGGTCGACAGCAGCCGGGTACGTGTTTGCATGTGGGTATATGGGGGTGCACGTGTGTGTGGATGTGCGTTCATGTCTGTCTATGATTGTGACTGTGTGCATGCATGCTGCCGCCAGCAGGAGTGCCGAGCCTCTACATGGTCGAGACAGTGGACAGCAGCCGGGTACGTGTGGGAATATGTGTGGGTGCACGTATATGTGGATGTGTGCATGTGCATACGCGTGTGTGTGTGTGTGCATGTGCATGTGCGTGGGCATGTGCATGTGCATGTGCATGCTACCGCCAGCAGGAGTGCCGAATCTCTTGTGGTGGAAGGAAACAGTGAATAGCAGCTGGGTACGTGCGTTGAGTGGAACGGAGGGGTGCGTGCATGTGGGGAAAGGGAGGGGTACGTGCGTTGAGTGGAACGGAGGGGTACGTGCATGTGGGAAAAAGGAGGGGTACGTGCGTTGAGTGGAACGGAGGGGTACGTGCATGTGGGAAAAAGGAGGGGATGGCAGGAAGCGGAGGGTTGCATGCAGTTCCGTTGTTCCTGTCACTGAGACGTGAAACCCCGCCGCGCTTGTTCCCTTTACTCCACACCACACCCATCAGATCGCCAGCCACCTGAATAAGACCGTGGCAGTCACTTTTGAGAATTCTCAAAAGTTGTTCCCTTTACTCCACACCCTGTTTTTTGAGAATTCTAAAAAACCATGGCAGTCACTTTTGAAAATTCTCAAAAGTTGTTCCCTTTACTCCACACTGTTTTTTGAGAATTCTCAAAAAAACCGTGGCAGTCACTTTTGAGAATTCTCAAAAGTTGTTCTCTTTACTCCACACCACACCCATCAAATCGCCAGCCACCTGAATAAGGCCGTGGCAGCAGCAGGGCGGCCTCGTGTTAATTCCCCTTTGATTCCTGAATTGCCTCATGTGCTCACTGATTCTTGAGTTGCCCTCTTGCTCCCTTCCTCTCTCATCCCCTTCTCCCCCATCAGATTGCCAACCACCTGAATAAGGCCGTGGCAGCAGCAGGGCGGCCTCCCTTGCGTGTGCTGGTGCAAGTCAACACGAGCGGAGAGGAGAGTGAGTGGGGGAGGGGGGGTTGTTAGGGCTTTTGAGGCGCCTCAGAAGCAGCGGGGCGGCCTCCCTTGCGTGTTCTGGTGCAAGTCAACACGAGCGGAGAAGAGAGTGAGTTAAGTGGGGGGGAGAGTGAGTAGCGGGGGGTAAAGCAAAGGGGACAAACAACGTGTTTCCCTTGTGTGTGCTAGAGTCTACACGAGTGGCGAGAAGAGTGAGTTGGGGGGGGGAGGGGCGTGAGTTGAAGGGGAGGAGTGTGAATGGGTGGGTAGAGTAAGGGGGACAGAGGAGAGTGAATGGATGGGGAGAGTATGTGGGATATGTGTTTTCTTGTTCTTCAGGTCTTTGGTGCAATTCAACACGAAACGGAGAGAAGGGAAAGCGGGGAGAGGGGAGAGGAGAGAGGAGAGTTAGTGTGGGGAGAGGAGGGTGATGATAGTGTGTGGACGCTAAGAATTTACGAGTGCTGAGCCTTGGTGCAAGAGATGGGAGGAGCACAAGCAGGGTGATGGCAGATTCCCCGTCCTGTCATGATTTTTTAGCCTTGGTGCCTTGGTGCCTTGGTGCCTTGGTGCCTCAAAAATCGTTGCATGGGAGCACAAGCAGGGTGATAGCAGATTCCGTCCTGTCATGCATTGTGGAGGGCGAGATGTGGAGTGAGTGTGGAAGGTGGAGTTCGCAGGGCGAGGCGAGAGTGTGCCGGAGGGCGAGATGTATTGAAGGGTTGACTTTTGAGTCGACTCAAAATGAGTGTGTTGGAGGGCGAGATGTATCAAAGGTGTGTGGAATGGTGGTTGCAATGCAAGTGCATTTTGGCATGCTCAACCTCTTTCATCCTTTCCATCCACCACCACCACCACCACCACCACCACCACCACCACCACCACCACCACCACCACCACCACCACCACCACCACCACCACCACCACCACCACCACCACCACCACCACCACCACCACCACCACCACCACCACCACCATTATTACAATTCCACCACCATTCCAGCACGTCGTGCCCATCAGCCACGTCACCTATGAGTCCCCCAACCTCTTTCTCTCTTTTCCTTTACCCTCGACCCACCTACTCCCTTCCATCAGGCAAGCACGGGGTGCACCCAACGGCGTGTGCGGACCTGGTACGGCATGTCACAGCAGAGCGCCCCAACCTCTTTCCCAGTGCCCTTTTCCCACTTAACCCTTTTCCCACCTTAACATTGTCCATCAGGCAAGCACGGGATGCACCCAAGGGGCGTGTGCGGACATGGTACGGCACGTCACAGCGGAGTGTCCCAACCTTTCCCCCCCCCGCCCCTCTTGTGTGTGTGTTGCTGCAGGCAAGCACGGAGTGCACCCATCGGCATGTGTCGACCTCATGCGCCACGTGTCGCAGCGGAGTGCCATGTCCCAACCTCCTGTTTCGCCCTGATCCCTTTTCCACCACCAATTTCAAATCCCTCCACCACCAGGCAAGCACGGCGTGCACCCATCGGCCTGTGTCGACCTCATGCGCCACGTCTCAATGAAGTGCCCCAACCCTTCCTTCTATTGCCCTCTTCCCATGCGACCCTCTTTCCATCTCAACCCTTTCCACCAGGCAAGCACGGAGTGCACCCATCGGCCTGTGTCGACCTGGTACGGCACGTCACATCCGAGTGTCCAAACCTCTGCTTCGCAGAGCTAATGACAATCGGCATGCCTGACTATTCCTCCCTCTGTTGCTGCAGGCAAGCACGGAGTGGACCCATCAGCCTGTGTCGACCTGGTACGGCACGTCACATCCGAGTGTCCAAACCTCTGCTTCGCAGAGCTAATGACAATCGGCATGCCTGACTATTCCTCCCTCTGTTGCTGCAGGCAAGCACGGAGTGGACCCATCAGCCTGTGTCGACCTGGTACGGCACGTCACATCCGAGTGTCCAAACCTCTGCTTCTCAGGGCTCATGACAATCGGCATGCCCGACTATTCCTCCCGTCCCGAAAACTTCAAGGTTCGAGCTCTCATCCCTCTCTTTCTCCTCCCTCGCCTGCCAATTCTCTTAATCGATGCGATTCTCCTCTCCCCAGCCCTCAATCTCTACTTGAAGAAATGCATTTGCAACATGCTATTCACATTTCAACCCGGTTTCATGCCATAGCTTCTTCCTGATTTTCACCAACTCCCTCCTGTTCGCCATCCTTCTGTTGCACTGCATAACCTTCATCCACCAATAGGCGCTTGCCAGGTGTCGAGCGGAGGTGTGTGAGCAGCTAGGGCTCACACCGAGCGAGTTGGAGCTATCCATGGGCATGTCAAACGACTTTGAGCAGGCGGTGAGTAGAGGATTGAGGTTGACAGTCTCTCTGCAACCTCGAACATGCGAATGTAAGCCGCTCTTGTGTGCCACCCCAGGCGAGTTGGAGCCATCCATGGGCATGTCAAACGACTTTGAGCAGGCGGTGAGTGGCGCATTGAGGTTGTAAACGAAGTATCTCATGAAATCAATATGAGTGTGCCACTTGTTTGCCTCATCACCACCTGTATTCCTCGTTACCATCACCAATGCTACTAATAACCTACAGGTGGAGATGCGCAGCAGCAATGTGCGAGCTTGGTTCACTGTACATGCGATGCGCTCCTGTGCCATCTTGCCTTTTGAGGCGCCTCAAAAACCGTACATGCGATGCCATCCTGCCATCCTGCCATCTTGCCTGTTCTCAGGTTGCACATCTGACCTACCCTGTGCCTGGCAGGTGGATATGGGCAGCACCAACGTGCGAGTGGGCTCCACCGTACATGGCATGGCATACCCGTACTGGCTGTTCTCAGTTTGCACATCTGGCCTTCTCTTACCCATGTGCTCCATGCACTGCAGGTGGAGATGGGCAGCAGCAACGTGCGAGTGGGCTCCACCAAATATGCCATGCCATCTCATCTCAAACTGCTGTACATCCGACCATGTGCCCCATGCACTGCAGGTGGAGATGGGGAGCACTAACGTGCGAGTGGGCTCCACCATATTTGGTGCTCGAGACTACTCCAAGTCGTGACCACGTTTAAGTCAACATGACTGTCAAATTACCGTATGACCATGCTACCAAGTCATGCCCAGGGTAGACCACACAAGTGCTGTATAGTGACGACGACGCCCGGTCATACCATAGGACTGCCTTGTGGCACGCACTCCCTGTGAGTGGTTTTCTAGAATTCTTAAAATCCATACAACTACCTAGTCATGCCTAGAAAATGCCACGCAAATGCAATATAGAATACCATAATAAGACTGCATTGTGGCAATCCTTCCTTGAAAACGATTTTTGAGGATTCTAAACAAAGTCATGCCTAAAAGAGCAATGAAAAACACGTGTGAAATTTCTTAAGTATGTTCTTGTCATCTGACTGACTTATGAGGGCCTGCTTTCACCCCTCTGATGCAATCCTTGTTTGTTCGTTTGGTTGCACCTATAACACTGGTACACCTAACTTCCGCCAATTTAGTACTGGTATAACCTTCACATTTTCTAGTTTGATCCATCAGACACCGAAAAACAAAAGAGATGAAAAAAAAATCGTCGTGCATGGGTGTTGCGAAGACGCCAATCTGGGATAGCAGAGCGTGGGTATTGCTTTTGTTGTGCGTCTGTTTGCGGTACTCCTACTCGCAAATAGCACTAAAACACTACCCCATGTATTTTTGAAATTAGTGGTACGAAACCCCGACTTCAAATAGACTAGGAGTAGTTGCCCATCGTCCTGCACGGTGGTGAAATTGGGTGCCTGAATTTGGCGGTGGGTAGGTGTTGCTGTCAGTCGATCCCGCAATCTGACAACATTCCATATTCCTCTCCACAGTACAAATATTCCTCCAATTCAGCAAGATTCCATTCGGAAAACCTAGTATTCCATCAAAGTCGAATCGCACATCCAATGTGGAGCTTTTCAGTTTGCCACTAGCGAACGATCTCGTTCAGTTTCGCACAAACCTTCGTTACCGATTTGCAGAAGCAACCACCTGGCGGCGAGTTCACTGACGGCGTAGACAGCTTCGCACAAATCTCTGTAACCAGTGAATGCTGCCCCATCCTTTCACGGCTCGTGAAACGAGATGGGATACGACGTCCATCCTTTCACGGCTCGTCGGTCCGAAGCGCACAATTCCAAATGTGAAGCATAAATTCACCCACTCTGCTCTGCTCTACACCACATCACTCACTCAACTCCTGCTCTCGACTAAAGCGAGTTCTGATCAAACCCAGAATCCTCCATTTATTTTTTTCTGGGTACCATGGCTCACTCCTATCACACCCTCGCAGTGGCTCTCCTGGTTGCTTCTTTCTCGTCGCATGCGCTCGCTGGCTTCATGGGCGGAGCGTCGACCTTCGCAACTGTAAGTCTCAACTGACATCTATCCGTTTTGCCCTCACCTGATTCTATTACGAGTGACTCCATCGATTCCATCGATACCGTCAAACGCGGCGCGGTTCAGGATCTTCCACAGCTAATTTCTGATCAAACTCGTCCTTACCCCTGATATGTACCACATTTCAGGCCGGGGCAAAGCTCGTCGCGGCGTGGAACAAGGCCAAGCCGGGAGTCACCCAGGACGTGGTGAATTACGATGGGGTAGGATCGGGCGCCGGGATCACCGGATTCAACAGCGGCACTTACGTCATTGCTATGTCCGATGACACCATGACCACAGCGCAAGAAGGCGGTAGCACCTCCCCCAAGATCACCGTGCCGCTCTGCGTCTCCACCTTCAGTTTCTTCATCAACGGCAAGCCCAACATCTGGATGACGGCCACCCAGACGTATCAGATCTACAGCGGCGCAATCGCCGCATGGGGCGCCGCCGTTCCTGGCTCGGTCGGCAAGGTCGCGGGCGCTATTACCCGCGTGGCGCGCAGCGACTAGTCCGGATCCACCGCAATTGTGAAGACCATGTGGAGCAAGGCCGTCTCGGGCTATGGCGACGGCATGGACGGCACGGCCATGACGTACGCCGGCCTTAAGAAGGTGGAGGGCACCCAGGCCGTGTGCGACGCGATTGCCGCGACCAAGGGCGCCATTGGTTACGCGTTCACCGGTGCCTGCAGCGTGACTGCGAAGCGTCAGTTCGCGGCTGTCAAGAACGCTGCTGGCGTGGCCATTGTCCCCTCTAAATGGAAACCCGGAGCTGCGATCCCCACCACCCCGCCCGCTGCACCTGATGCTTCCTGGGCGACCGTGGACTTTATCTACAAGGGCAGAGCTACAACCCCTCCCATGGTGTCTATGGAGTTCGCTTTCATCCGCAAGACCGTCAGCGGCGCGCAGGGCAGGATCGCCAAGGCGTTCAGTGCGACGCCTCCTGCTTGGCTCAACCCGTCCAGTGCCTTGCTGAATGCCATTGTTGTGTCGGCGTAAGAGGTGCTTCTGTCACACAGATGGCTAGCTTAGCTGGACATGGGGCATGCATAGATGGTCATGCATAGTATTAGCAGTGTTTGTTTGTCATCCCCTAGCTTGCTCACGTGTTACCCATGTCCCGGTTTATATTGTCTTACATGTGATGTGGTTGTGTACTACACTTAGTGAAAGCAATTTTTTGTTAGTGTGCTGGAAATGTGGGTTTTTACACATAGCAAACCTGCCTGGCGATCTTAACCGTTCGGAGCATGGTTGGATTCATCTAAAAGCTAAGAGCCTAAACCCAGCTGCTATGCTTTTTTACAGCCACAGCCAGAGATGGTATGCCAATAATGGGGTCACATGCCATGATGCAACGTGCAGGATGAATGTAGCTAACCCAGGTACACTAAGGTAGCTAGGGGTGTATTTATGGGTAGCTGGGATGACTGCACAAGCTCAAAATGGATAGGTTACTACCAATAATTCACAACCAAGGGATCAATACCATATGACTGCCCCCACTGCGATATGCGTTTGGTTGTTGTACAACTACCGTAAGCACAGCCAGATGGATTACAAAGTCCCAGTATAAGGTGGAATACCAGGGATGACATTGGGTAATACCGTAAATGCATTGGCTCATGACTGAAGTGCATGAATTGTGTGCATTCTTGTAACTAGTGTAATTTGCGTAGGCTTTGCTACAGGGCTAATTTTATCATTGTAAATCATCCTGATACCCTGATTATCAGGGTGGTTTTTGGTAGTCACACTGATGGCCTGGGGTAATTATTTGTGGAGCTAGGATTTTCCTGATATGCCAGGGTTTACATTTAAGGCACACTGATGCCTCAGGGTTACCTTTCTTCATAACGAGTTTTTCCCTGAAGCGAGTGTCAAACATATATTTATATGTTATAGTTTGGGTAGGCTTAGTGGGGTACTCACAGTGGGGTACAACCCCTTTGGTTTCACTTTTGTACCAAACTCCTCGATAGTTGATCCATTTCCCTTGACTTAGTCTTGATATGGTATCTAGAGCAGGAGGTCTCTAGGACCTAAGAATCGGGCCCACCTAACTGTGTTACCACCTGCCTGCCTTGCCTACTGCCCGCGCGCGCCTCGGCTGCAGCGCGCGTAACTTTTTTTTCCGCGCGCGCCTCGGTTTCTAGCGCGCGCGTCACTGTTTTTAGCGCGCGCCACTGCTGCAGCGCCGCGCGCCGGCCCGCGTCGCCCGCGCAGCCCGCGTAGAGCCCGCGCGCAGCCTGCTTAGGCCACGCCCGCGCAGCCCGTCGCCACGCGCAGCCAGGAGCCGCGCGCAGCCCGTCGCCACGTGTAGCCAGGAGCCGCGCGCAGCACGTAGCCACGCACAGCAGAGAGCCGCGCGCAGCCCTCAGCCGCACGCAGCCAGCAGCCGCGCGTGCCCTACTCGTGTACCTGCCTGTGAGGCTCACTACTGCCGAGCCCACTGCCTTAGACCTGCGCGGCCTGCTACTGTCTAGAGCCCCACCTTAGGAGCTCGAGTGCAGCAAGCTACTGCCCTGTACGTTGCCTGTACTGCCTGCTGCCTACTGCCTCTGTCTTAGCCTGCGGTGTACTGCCTGCTGCCTCCTGTCTACTGCCTGCCTGCTTTCTGCTGCCTTTGCCTGCTGCCATTATGACGACGCCTAACGTTCTCGCGTTCGAGCCTGACGGTCGCCCCATAGAGTTCGCTGTGTGGTTAGATGATCTCCAACTGTTCCTTCTGACCGATGCCAAAGAGGGCGTTTCACTGTTCGATTACGTGTCTGGCACTGCCGTTGCTCCTGCTGCCGATGCTCCTGCTCTCGAACGCTCACAGTGGCAGACTCGCGATGCTGCTGCACGCCTAGCTATTAGGAACCATCTGCCGATTACTGAGCGCGCGCATTTCAGCCAGCAGAAAACTGCTAAGACGCTGTACGACGCTGTAGTTGCGCGCTACTCCTCCCCAGCCACTGCAGCCATAGGTCGGCTCATGCTACCCTACTTGTTCCCCGTCCTTTCCTTGTTCACCACTGCTGAGGACCTCATTTCCCACCTGCGCGCTACTGACACTCGCTTTCGTGCCGCCCTTTCCGCCGAGTTCTGCGACGCAAACCCCCCCCCCCCCCCCCCCCCCCCGATGTACTTCACTCTCTATTTCCTCGTCACCCGCCTCCCTGACACTCTTAGCTCCGTCAGGGACCACTTCCTAGCGCTAGACCCCCCCACTCTCACTGTCGACGACTTCGAGAAGCACCTCCTTGCAGCAGAGAAGAACATCCTCGCTGTAGGTGCTGCTCGTGGCACTCCTCGCTCTCCCCTCTTTGAGGGGTGCTCCCCCTCCCCTCTCACCCCCTCCTACGCCTCCGCAGCTGCTGCTCACGACTACCTTGGTGCTGAGGAGGTCGGGGCTGCTTCCGCTCCTAGTGGGAAGCGTCGCAGCGGCAGGGGCGGCAAGGGTGGCAGGGGAGGTGGGGGTGGCGGTGGAGGTGGCGGTGGAGGTGGCGGCGGGGGAGGTGGAGGTGGTGGAGGCGGTCGTGGGGGTGGAGGTGGTGGAGGTGGTGGTGGGGGCAGCGGAGGAACTGGGAGCGGTGGAGGTGGCAGCAGCGGCGGTGGGGGAGGAGGGAGCGGTGGTGGCAGTGGTGGTCAGGGCCAGCAGCAGCCGCAGCAGCAGCAGCAGCGTCAGCGCCAGACCCCCACTTCCCAGCAGCTTCTTGACTGGTATGCCGGGCGTGGGGCTTCTGGAGGTCCTGGTCGCTGCCCCTATATCATTCGCACAGGTCCCCGCGCTAGTCGCCAGTGCACAGGGTTTCACACTGAGCAGCGCTGCTTCGCTCGGCTTAGCGATGCCTGGCGCGCCAAGTTTCCTGATGCTACTGAGTTCCACAACTGGGCAGACCTGCTTAGGCGTGATGTACCTATCTTTGATCTTGACTATGAGGCTATTCTTGCTGCGATGTATGCATTGACTGTTAGTGCTGAGGGTGATTGCTACTTGTGTGTGCCGCCTGACCCAGGTATAGCCCCCTGTATAGCGCCTGTGGCGCTAGGTGTTTGTGAGTCTGCCCCCCCTGGTACTGCGTCCGCACAGGCCTTGCACACCTTCACACTTGACTCTGGTGCTTCCCGCTGTTTCTTTCGCGACAGCACCACAGTCACTCCCCTCCCTGCACCTGTTCCTGTCTCACTGGCTGACCCCTCTGGGGGCCCAGTACTTGCACGGTCTTCCACTGTGCTTCCGTGTCCGGCGGTCCCGTCTGGTGAGCTGTCTGGTCTCCACCTCCCCTCGTTCTCTACGAACTTGGTGAGCAACGCCGTCCTTCAGGATCACTGGGTTGACACCTTTACTCCTGGAGGACAGCGTGTGGCGATCTGCACGTGCTCCCGGACCGGCCGTCACCTGGCCACGTTCACACGTGCGCCTGGGTCCAGTCTGTACAACCTCACCGCTGCGTCGCGCTACACCCCTTTGTCTCCCCAGCTGTACGCGTCTGCTCAGGTAGCTACCCAGTGTGAGTGTCGCCGACTGTCGCACGACACTCTCCTGTGGCACCACCGCCTTGGTCACCCCTCCCTGCCTCGCCTTCGTAGCATGCACTCTCGCTACCTGGTCTCTGGCCTTCCTGAGTCTCTGCCTGCCCTCCCTCCCTCGCCTGCACCGCCCTGCATTCCTTGCGTCGAGGGGCGGCAGCGCGCCGCTCCTCACTCCTCCTCGTTTCCTCCCACAGAGGCTCCCCTGCAGACTCTCCACATGGACGTGTGGGGCCCAGCCCGCGTCCGTGGACAGGGCCACAAGCGGTACTTCCTGCTGGTCGTCGACGACTACACGCGTTACACCACGGTCTTCCCCTTGTGCAGCAAGGGGGAGGTCCCTGATGTTTTGATCCCCTGGATCCGCGCTGTTCGTCTCCAGCTCCGCGAGCGGTTCCAGTCGGACTTTCCTGTCCTGTGTCTGCACTCTGACAGAGGTGGTGAGTTCTCCTCAGACCTCTTGGCAGCCTTCTGTGCGGAGCACGGCATCCGCCAGACGTTCACGCTTCCGGCCTCTCCGCAGCAGAATGGGGTTGCTGAGCGCCGCATTGGCTTAGTCATGGAGGTCGCTCGTACCTCCATGATCCATGCGGCTGCCCCCCATTTTCTGTGGCCGTTTGCGGTCCGGTACGCCGCGCATCAGCTCAACCTCTGGCCCCGTGTCTCCTTGCCGGAGACCTCGCCCACACTGCTGTGGATGGGGAAGGTTGGCGATGCGTCGCGTTTCCGGGTCTGGGGTGCTCGTGCCTTTGTCCGCGATACCACCGCAGACAAGCTCTCCGCTCGCGCCATTCCATGCGTCTTCCTTGGCTTTGTCCCTGACGCGCCTGGCTGGCAGTTCTACGACCCCGCCTCGCGTCGTGTCTTTCCGTCTCAGGACGTCACCTTTGACGAGTCCGTCCCCTTTTACCGTCTCTTTCCCTACCGCACTGCCCCTCGCCCCCCACCGCCGCTCTTTCTCGCCCCAGGTCCTCCCCAGGTAGACCCCCTCCCCGCGCCAAGTCCTGCTCCTTCAGGTGTTTCTCAGGTAGACCCTCCTGTGCCTGCGCCTGTTGAGGTCACTGGTGACTCAGGTCCTGCTGGGGGTGGTGCTGTCTTTGGGGGTGCTGGGCCTAGGGGTGCGGAGCTTGGGGGTGCTGAGCCTGGGGGTGCGGAGCTTAGGGGTGCTGAGCCTGGGGGTGCGGAGCCTGCGCGTGAGGACCCAGGAGGTACTGAGCCGGGGGGTGCGGAGTCTGGGGGCGCTGAGCCTGAGCGCGAGGAGCCTGGGGGTACTGAGTTTGGGGGTGCGACGCCTGAGGGTTCTGAGTCCGCTGCTACGCGGTCGCCTTGGGGTAGCCGCCTTCGTCCGCGTGTGCCTCTCACCTCACAGCAGCTGCACGACTGGTACGGTCGCCGTCAGGGTCGCGCTTCTGGAGCTCGGGGCTCTGCCGCTGGAGGTACTTCTGCTGACGTCTCTGGAGGTGGGAGTGGTGCTGGTCCCGGAGGTGCTCGTCCTGGAGGGGCTGGAGCTGCTGGGGCTGGAGGTGTTGCTGAGCCTGAGGGTGCTACTACTGGAGACCCTGGGTCTGGGGGTGCTGCTGCTGGAGACACGGAGGCTGGAGACCCTGGGACTGGAGGTGCCGGTTCTGGGGGTGCTGCTGAGGGTACTGGAGCTGCTGGAGGTGCTGGAGCTGCTGAGGGTGCTGGAGCTGCTGGAGGTGCTGGAGCTGCTGAGGGTACTGGAGCTGCTGGAGGTGCTGGAGCTGCTGGAGGTACTGGAGCTGCTGAGGGTACTGGAGCTGCAGGAGGTGCTGGAACTGCTGAGGGTGCTGGAGCTGCTGAGGGTGCTGGAGCTGCTGGTGCTGGTGGCACTGCACAGCCGCGCCTGTTCTTTGCTCCACCGTCTCCGTCGTCTCTGCCACCGCCTGACTCCGTACTTCGCCAGGTTCTTAGCCTCCCGTCGTCTACTGGTCTTCCGTTACAGCCTGGCTCACCTCTGCCTGCTCCTTCTCCTTACGCTGAGCAGACAGGGGGCTTTACTGAGCGTCGTGAGCCTGCGTCGCGTCCTATCTCACCTGTCCGTTCTGGTCGTTCCAGTCATCGTGTTCCTCGTCAGCGTCCGCCGGCTGTCCCCGGCCCTTCCCTTGTAGTCCGTCGTCCTGCCTCTCCTCCGCAGCGTGTTCCTCTGCCGTCTCCTCCTGAGTCTTCTCAGCTTGTTGTTCCGGACCCTAAGTCTGACCGGTTTCGTGCTGAGCACCCTACTGTCACGCGTCTGCTAGCCACTGTTGTCACTGACCCGTCGCTTGAGTCTGCTGCTGCGTCTGCCTTAGCCGCTGAGCTTGTTGACTTTGCTGCTGCCTGTCGTCTAGACTACGCTGCTATCTTGTTGCTGAGTCTGACTCTGTCTGTCCTCCGTCCGTCGGGGGTGAGTGTGCTCTTGGCACGGACGTCCTTGAGGACAGGCACGAGGACCTTGAGTGTTTTGCAGCCGCTGCGCCTCATCTCGTGTCCATGCTGCTTGCCCCTGAGGGAGACCCGGATGCACCAGACATCCCGACCCCGCGCTCTTACGCTGAGGCGATCGCAGGTGAGTACTCCTCTCAGTGGCACACAGCCATGGATGCAGAGATGGCATCCTGGAAGTCCACAGGCACCTACGTCGACGAGGTTCCCCCTCCTGGGGCGAACATCGTTAGTGGCATGTGGATTTTCAGGGTGAAGCGGCCGCCAGGTTCTCCGCCTGTCTTCAAGGCTCGTTACGTTGCTCGAGGTTTCAGTCAGCGAGAGGGAGTTGACTTCTTCCAGACCTTCTCCCCCACCCCGAAGATGACCACTCTTCGGGTACTGCTGCACGTTGCCGCTCAGCGTGACTACGAGCTTCACTCTCTTGACTTCAGCACAACTTTCTTACAGGGCAGCCTGCACGAGGAGATCTGGCTGCGCCGCCCACCTGGCTTCACTGGGTCGTTCCCTCCTGGTACCCAGTGGAGCCTCCGGCGGCCGGTCTACGGTCTCCGCCAGGCGCCGCGTGAGTGGCACGATACACTGAGGACGACACTTGCGGCTCTTGGGTTTTCTCCGTCGACTGCTGACCCGTCGCTGTTTCTGCGCACCGACACTTCACTGCCGCCGTTCTACATCCTCGTGTACGTCGACGACTTGGTCTTTGCCATTTCTGACACTGAGGCTCTCGCCCTGGTGAAGTCGGAGCTGCAGAAGAGACACACGTACACAGACCTGGGTGAGCTGACAAGCTATCTTGGCTTGCGGATCACCCGGGACAGAGCACGCCGCACCATCACACTGACTCAGTCACACATGGTGCAGCAGGTCCTTCAGCGCTTCGGCTTCACCTGGTCCTCGGCACAGGCCACTCCTCTGGCTACAGGTCACTCGCTCTCAGCTCCACCTTCGGACGAGTCCGTAGAGCCGAGTGGTCCTTACCCATAGCTAGTGGGCTGCCTCATGTACCTGATGACCTGCACTCGTCCTGACCTTGCGTACCCTCTTGGCCTTCTGGCTCGCTACGTGGCTCCTGGTCGGCACCGAAAGGTGCACATGGAGGCTGCTAAGAGGGTACTACGCTACTTGTGCAGTACATCGGGCATGGGGCTCGTGCTTGGAGGACGGAGCGACGTTTTCCTCACTGGGCACTCGGACGCTTCTTGGGTTGACGACCAGGCTACGCAGCGGTCGTCACAGGGTTACACCTTCAGCCTTGGCTCTGGTTCGGTTTCTTGGCGTTCTACACGCTCGTCTTCAGTTCTCGGCTCCAGTTGTGAGGCTGAGATCTACGCCACAGCCATGGCTGCACAGGAGTTACGCTGGCTCACCTACCTGCTGACCGACTTGGGAGAGAGGCCTCGTTCTCCTCCAGTGCTGTACGTCGACAACAAGGCCGCCATTGCCTTGTGTCAGGAGCACAGACTGGAGCACAGAACGAAGCACATCGCTCTGCGTTACTTCCTGGCTCGAGAGCTACAGCAGCGTGGTCAGCTTCGCCTTGCTTACGTGGCCACTCGGGCCAACACTGCTGATATATTCACCAAGGCGCTTCCGCCTGGTGATCATCAGCGTTTCTGTACTTTGTTAGGCCTTGTGCCCACGTTTCCTCACTTGTTGTAGGCTTTGTTTGTACTGTGATCTATATATATACCTGCATGCTTGCTCTGGTAGGTAGAGATTACGGTGCTGTTGTTGTTACGTATATATCTCTGCATGTGAACTGGCCTTGTGGCCTTTTGCTTGTGCTCAGACTGCGTGGTGACGTTGTGATCCACCCTGAGCTTGCTTTACACTTCCTGCCTGGTCTTGTGACTCTCTGTTCTCCCCCACTTTGCCTATGGGGGTGTGTCAAACATATATTTATATGTTATAGTTTGGGTAGGCTTAGTGGGGTACTCACTTTGGGGTACAACCCCTTAGGTTTCACTTTTGTACCAAACTCCTCGATAGTTGATCCATTTCCCTTGACTTAGTCTTGATAGCGAGTACCATACCCCCCCCCCCCCCCCCACTCCCACCACCCCCCCTTTCCCGTAACCCGGGATTCCCGATTGCCAACTGTCGAAATCGGAATTTCAGCCTGCTGAAGTAACTGACGACGAGCAACACCTATGTGGCATGTATGATGATCTAAAATTTGCATTGTGTGCAACGATAACATCAATTCATCAGGGTTTGCTAAACTGGTACACTGATGCCACAGGGTTGGATTTTCAAAAACAAGAAAAACACTGATGGATCAGGGTTTGAAGGTGTCACACTGATAATCAGGTTTTTGAACAGGTGCAACACTGATCACAAGGGTTGCTCAAAACAAAAAATCAGCCCTGTACAGGCACCTAGCAGAACAGAAATACCGTATGTATGCTACAAGGTGCCATTACTAGATTGGGCCCCATTGCAATATGGGGCCCTGTTAATACCGTATGTATGCTACCCTGTTAAGGTAGCTTCACTAGATCAGGCAATCCCAACAATAGACTGGAAAGGCCTGATGCCTTTTGTACCACACGTGCCATGAGCGTGTAGCTCAAAAAACACTCTGCCCCTTTTTTGGAGCATTCGCAGGGATACCGGTAGCTGGCTGATCACTAGGTTCACTTCACAGGTGAGATGCCGCTACTTCTGGCGCTTGTAGATCTTCTTGAGAAACGATGTCAACGCCTCCTGCAAGCAGCACAGCAAGTGCAGCAAAAACAGAAAGAGGGGAGACGTGAGAAGAGCGGTGTGAGGAAAGAGATCAGTTGCTACTTCTGACGCTTGTGAACCTTCTTGAGAAACGATGCCAATGCCTCCTGCAAGCGGCACGAAAAGTACACGGCAAGAGGGAAGACGTGTGAGGGAGAAGCGAGGAAAAAGGTCAGCTGCTACTACTTCTGGTGCTGGTATACCTTCTTGAGGAACGATGTAAATGCCTCCTTAAGGCCACACATCAAGATGTTGCAGCAAACGAGAAGACTTTCAGAGTGAAAGCGCGAGGATAGAGGTCAATTGCTGCTTCTGTCGTTTCTATAAATTGTCAAGAAAGGATGTCAATAAGTGCAGTCAACGCAGCAAGAAGGAAGACATGAGAGGAAAAACGATAGTTTTGAGACATCTCAAAACTAAAGAGCAGACAACGCCGCAAGAAGGAAGAAATGAGAGGAGAAACGAGAGGAAAGCAACCTGGCGTTTTTTTGCGATTCTTGAGTGAGGATGTAAGCAGACAAGTGCAAGCAGGTGCACGGCAAGAGGGAGGACTAGAGTTGCATGTCTGTCGCCAAGGCAGCCTTCAACTGCCAGAAACCGCAATGCAAACCATCGGTGCAGCCCCCCACGAGGACAATGCGGCATTACGGCCCCTATTGCAGCCACTGCAGCCGCTATTGCAGGCAACGCAGCACCTGATTCAAAGGGCTCTGTCTCAGAGGCTCGCGGTGCACTCACCCTCAAGGGGTTCTCTCTCCGCTTGGGGTGATTTTTGAGGCGCCTAAAAAAAAACCTCGTTACACGTGGCTCGCCGCCCACTCACCCTCAAGGGTTCGCTCTCCACTCACCCTCAAGGGTTCGCTCTCCACTCACCCTCAAGGGTTCGCTCTCCACTCACCCTCAAGGGTTCGCTCTCCACTCACCCTCAAGGGTTCGCTCTCCACTCACCCTCAAGGGTTCGCTCTCCACTCACCCTCAAGGGTTCGCTCTCCACTCACCCTCAAGGGTTCGCTCTCCACTCACCCTCAAGGGTTCGCTCTCCACTCACCCTCAAGGGTTCGCTCTCCACTCACCCTCAAGGGTTCGCTCTCCACTCACCCTCAAGGGTTCGCTCTCCACTTGGGCGATGGCGGCTGTGATGCTCGCGTGGCTCTCCTTCTCGTACTCTGCGAATGCATCCTGTAGCATGTCAGAGACAGTAGGGTTGGGGGAAATTGGGTGGAGTGGAATGAACGAAGAGGACTGACTGAAGGGGGTCTAAGAATGAATCCGGCAAAAACACAAGGAAAGGCTGTCACTAGAGTTTGAATGGACGTGTTTTGAGTCGACTGAAGAATGCACGTGCAAGTGGAATGCGCGATTTTCCAGACGCCTCAGAAACCTAAGTGACCAGAAAGTCACTCAGAGTCTGTCCGAATGGGCGTGTGAGGAATGGGGCTGTCGGCTAGAAACGAAATCATTTGTGACCGTGGCAAGTAACACACGAGAAACCAGGCATGGCAGAGCAGCAGCAGCGCCAGCACCCTCAGGGCTGTCACCCTTTTAGGCAGGCAGCAGCACTGTCTGTCAGCCACGCAGCAGGCTGGCATGCCCATAACCACAGCCCAGCCCAACCCATATGTAGGCATATGTAGGCGCGGCAAGTAGCACACGAGAAACCAGGCATGGCCGAGCAGCAGCAGCGCCAGCACCCTCAGGGCTGTCGCCCTTTTAGGCAGGCAGCACTATCTGTCAGATCAGACACGCAGCACTTTGACATGCCCATAACCACGGCCCGGCCAACCAAAGTCGTCAGAAGTGTATGTAGCTGTGGCAACTAACACACCAGAAACCAGGCACGGCTAAGCAGCAGCAGCAACGCCAGCACCCTCTCGGGCGGGCAGCACTGTCTGTCAGCCATGCAGCAGTCTGGCATGCCCATAACCACGGCCCGGCCCAACCTAACTCACACCCGTGCACGACCTCAGACCAACTCTCATGAGTGCAAAGGCTTGGGCAGCTCATAAGAGTGCAAATTCTTAGGCAGCTCTTACGAGTGCAAAGGTTTGAACAACTCTCATGAGTGCAAAGGCTTGGGCAACTCTGTTGAGTGGCTGAGTCACCGCACAGGCGAGCTGGCCGAGCACATCAGTTTTGCATGCAAGCCCTGCTGCAAAGGGCCCTTGGTTTCCCAGAGGTTGCCTTTGAAGCAAGGGCAGGTTCCGGACGGGAGGCAAGGTGGAAGCTTGGAGCCTTGACCCCCGTCTGAGTGCATGCGGGGTAGCATAGCAGCACACAAAAGCACTAAGCACTCTGCATCTTGATGCTTTCAAGGTGATTTCATGGTGCTTTCATGGTGCGTTCATCAAGACGTACCTCCGACTCAAAAATCACCCCCGGTGCAGCAGCACTCACTCACTCTCCATGTTGGCACTTTCATGGTGCCACATGCCAAACACACCTGCAGCTTCATGTGCGTGTACAGCTGCTTTATGGCCGCCACACACTGCTGGTGGCACTCAACCGCACTCAACCACACTCAACCACAGATTGAGCTGCACGCACCTGCAGCTTCATGTCCGTGTACAGCTGCTTTATGGCCGCCACACACTGCTGGTGGCACATCCGAGATTCCACACAACACAACAGGCTGCTCCATGCACTCACCACAGACAGGCACAGGCTGATGTGAGCGCACCTGCAGCTTCATGTCCGTGTACAGCTGCTTTATGGCCGCCACACACTGCTGGTGGAATGTGTGAGTGCACACACCAAACGGCTCAATGCACCACTAACCACACACACTGATGTGAGCGCACCTGCAGCTTCATCTCCGTGTACAGCTGCTTTATCACCGCCACACACTGCTGGTGGAATGTGTGAGTGCACACACCAAACGGCTCAATGCACCACTAACCACACACACTGATGTGAGCGCACCTGCAGCTTCATCTCCGTGTACAGCTGCTTTATCACCGCCACACACTGCTGGTGGAATGTGTGAGTGCACACACCAAACGGCTCAATGCACCACTAACCACACACACTGATGTGAGCGCACCTGCAGCTTCATCTCCGTGTACAGCTGCTTTATCACCGCCACACACTTCTCGTCCTTCTTGCCGTAGTTGCTCTGCGTTCACAGGAGACGTGGGGAGGGCAGACGAGGAGCAAGGGGGAAGGACAGGAAGGGAAGAAAGGGTTGCTTCTTGGGTGTTGAGACGAACCAAAGGCTGCTAAGGGTTGAGATTTTGACCCGGACGGGTCGGGTTGAGCGTGACCCGAAAGCATGCAAACCTTTAGGGTAATGGTGACCCGTCAGGACGGGTCGACCCGACACGACTTAACCCGTCAACCGCGCCGATCGAGTGCCAAGATGGCCGATCTGCGCGGATCCGCCACCAAAACCACCGATTCACGTTGATCAGCGGTCAAAATCAGTGATCCGCAGGGGACAAGCACGAAGGGCAAAGACAAAAAGGCGAACCAAATAGGGTGATTCGTGTCTATACAGCTTCGCAAGCACTGTGCCTGGTCCCCTGTCCACGCCCTCTCACCTCAATGACCTGACCTGATTTCAACGCCTCACAAATCCTCTCAAGTGTCCCGTCCCCTACCTAACCGCGCCCCCTCACCTCAATGATCTGCCGCTGCTCCTGTGTGGCCCGCTGCAGCGCCTGCACCACAAGCCACGAGCACTTGGTGTCCTCTATGTCCGTGCCCACCTGGTGATGCACATGGTTTGGGATACGCAGTGCGGGGGGAGGGGTGAGAGGGTAATCACCTGCACCACCAGCGACGAGCACTTGGTGTCCTCTATGTCCGTGCCCACCTGGTGATGCACATGGTTTGGGATACGCAGTGCGGGGGGAGGGGTGAGAGGGTAATCACCTGCACCACCAGCCACGAGCACTTGGTGTCCTCTATGTCCGTGCCCACCTGGTGATGCACATGGTTTGGGATACGCAGTGCGGGGGGAGGGGTGAGAGGGTAATCACCTGCACCACCAGCCACGAGCACTTGGTGTCCTCTATGTCCGTGCCCACCTGGTGATGCACATGGTTTGGGATACGCAGTGCGGGGGGAGGGGTGAGAGGGTAATCACCTGCACCACCAGCCACGAGCACTTGGTGTCCTCTATATCCGTGCCCACCTGGTGATGCACATGGTTTGGGATACGCAGTGCGGGGGGAGGGGTGAGAGGGTAATCACCTGCACCACCGGCCACGAGCACTTGGTGTCCTCTATATCCGTGCCCACCTGGTGATGCACATGGTTTGGGATACGCAGTGCGGGGGAGGGGTGAGAGGGTAATCACCTGCACCACAAGCCACGAGCACTTGGTGTCCTCTATGTCCGTGCCCACCTGGTGATGCACATGGTTTGGGATACGCAGTGCGGGGGGAGGGGTGAGAGGGTAATCACCTGCACCACCAGCCACGAGCACTTGGTGTCCTCTATGTCCGTGCCCACCTGGTGATGCACATGGTTTGGGATACGCAGTGCGGGGGGAGGGGTGAGAGGGTAATCACCTGCACCACCAGCCACGAGCACTTGGTGTCCTCTATGTCCGTGCCCACCTGGTGATGCACATGGTTTGGGATACGCAGTGTGGGGGGAGGGGTGAGAGGGTAATCACCTGCACCACCAGCCACGAGCACTTGGTGTCCTCTATGTCCGTGCCCACCTGGTGATGCACATGGTTTGGGATACGCAGTGCGGGGGGAGGGGTGAGAGGGTAATCACCTGCACCACCAGCCACGAGCACTTGGTGTCCTCTATATCCGTGCCCACCTGGTGATGCACGGGGGAGGAGGAGTGAGTAGGGAGGGGTGGAGGAGGGTGAGGGGGTAGAGTGGCACCTCTGGCAGCGCCTGCACCGCGAGCCACGACCACATGGTGTCCTGTCCTCCCTCTATATCCGTGCCCACCTGGTGGAAGATTGGGGGGGAGAGGCGTGGGGGAGAGGGGAGGGGATGGGGGTGTGACGTGGGGCCATCTGTCAACATCCCCACCAGTCATGAGAGCTTGGTGACTGACCAAACCGCTACACACCGACTCAAAACGTACCAGTCTCAGCTCTGAGTCTCGCCCTCCAATCTCATCCTCCAACCAAGCCAGAACCACACAGGCCCAACCCTAAGTGTTTCTCACATTGTTTTGAGTCGACTGAAAACATCCTCCAAGCCAGAACCACACAGGCCCAACCCTAAGTGTTTCTCACCTTACCTATCACGGCAGGGTCCCCGTAGCAGTCGAGCACGTCGTCCTGCACCTGGAAGTACGTCCCCATCACCACCACACCACACCAGCACGCCGACACCAGCATACCCAGCCCCACACCCCTAACTCCAGACACTAACCCAGTTACCAGCTACCCACCTTGCCAATCACAGCAGGGTCCCCGTAGCAGTCGAGCACATCGTCCTGCACCTGGAAGCACGTCCCCATCACCACACACACAACCACACCCAGCCCACACACCCAACTCCAGACCCTCAACCTGCTCTGCCACCACCAGCCCTCCTGTTTCCCCAACAACCCACCTTGCCGATGACAGCGGGGTCACCAAAGCAGTCGAGCACGTCGTCCTGCATCTGACAGTACGTCCCCATCACCACCACACCACACCACACCACACCCCCCACCTCCAACTCTAGACCCAGAACCCACATCACCACCACATGCACTCCTGTGTTCGCAACTTCTTTACCTTCCCTATAACAGCGGGGTCACCGTAGCAGTCGAGCACGTCGTCCTGCACCTGGAAGTACGTCCCCATCACCACCAGGATCTCCCTCCCCTGTGCTGCCAGTGCTGCGTCCTCCACTCCTGCCAGGATCAACGCCGTTGCCACCTGGAGAGGGGCGGTGGGGGGAGGAGAAGGGGCAAGGGCGGGGTCACACGGCTGTGGTGTGGCAACTGGCCGTGTAGCCTTTGCACTGCTAATGCTGCGTCCTCCACGTGCGCCCCATCAGAGGCGCCGGAGAGAGGAGACGTGCGGGCACGGGAGGAGACGCTTTTGAGAAAGCCTCCAAAGCCCGCCCGCCCGCCAGCCAGCCAGCATCAGCGCGGTAACCACCTGGGTGGGAGTGAGAAAAGGGTGAGTGCATGGTTGACACGAGGTTGTGAGATGCGTTGTTTCTTTTTATTTCTTTCTTTCTTTTTGCTACCTCCTCTCGCGAGCGTTTTTGTAGAAAAAAACGTGCGTGGGCGGCGGGAGGGATGAGATGAGAACCCAGAACATGCTTACAGGGATGCGGTGAGGACGGACAGGAGGGAGGGAGAAAGGAAGACGCTTACAGGGAGGTAGAAGGAGTAGGAGGCTGTCTCATACTGCACGATCTGGATATTGAGCCGACTCAAAAGTCACCTCGAGGAAAGGTACCATCGCAGGGAGAGAGAAAGGAAGGTGCTTACAGGGAGGTAGAAGGAGTAGTATGCCGTCTTGTACTGCACAATCTTTAGGTAGCTGGGAGGGAGAACAAGGGGCAGGGGAAACAAATGGGGGAAGAGTTGGGGAAGGGAGAGAGGAGGGGCGGGGGAAGAGTGGGATGGAAAGGAGGGGGACGGACGTCAGGAGAAGTTGTAAGGAAGAAGGGACGGATGGTGGACGGATGAAAGGAACGGATTTTGTGGTATCTTGCCACCATATAGCCATGTGGACATGATGCATTACAGTATACCCGCATGGACGTGGTGCGATGCCACAGTATACCCCCGTGGAGATGGTGTATCCCTACGGTATACCCACGTGGACATGGTGTATTTGTTGAGATCCACCTCCCCTTCGGGAGTGGTGATGAGGTCCAGCATCTGCCCACACGCTGTCTGGTATGTCACCTGCAGAGGGGCGGGTTGGGAGGAATAAAAAGGAGGGCGGGAGGAGGGCGGGAGGAGGGCAGGAGGAGGGGGGAGGAGGGGGGAGGAGGGGATAAGACGGGTACAAACAGAAGGCGTGGAGACGTGGAACATCTGCCCACATGTAGGTCCCGTGCAGAGGAGGCAAGGGGGAGGGAGGGAGGCGGGAGGGGGGAGGAGCGGAATAAATAGATGGAAGGCGTGGTGATGAGGACGACCATCTATCCACACAGGGAAGGAAGGGAGGGGGGAAATGCAAGAACAGGGAGTTGGGAGAACGGGAGAAGGAGCAGCGTACCTCGTTAAAGAGGTCGAGCAGGCAGGTGTAGGCAGGGTGGGAGGAGAAGTGGCAGCACAGCTTTGAGGCGCCTCAAAAGGGAAGGTGGTGGGGGGGAGGAGCCGCGTACCTCATTAAACAGGTCAAGCAGGCGGGTGTAGGCGGGATGGGAGGAGAAGTGGCGGCGCAGGATGAGGAAGATGTGTGAGTTGAGCAGCACGCCATCATTGATGGCGATCATCCCCACCTGCAGGCATGCATGGCGCATGGTGCATGGGTACATGGGAGCATGGGTACATGGGTGCATGGACGGGTAGGGGTAGGCATGCAAAGCGGGGGATGAGGAAGATGTGTAAGTTGAGCAGCACGCCATCGTTGATAGCAATCATTCCCACCTGTAGGCCGCCAGGCAGGCATGGGTGCACGGGTGGATGGATGCATGGGTGCATGGGTGCATGGGTGCACGGGTGCATGGGTGCATGGGTGCATGGGTGCACGGGTGCACGGGTGCATGGGTGCATGGGTGCATGGGTGCACGGGTGCATGGGTGCATGGGTGCATGGGTGCATGGGTGCATGGGTGCATGGGTGCATGGGTGCATGGGTGTATGGGTGCACGGGTGCACGGGTGCATGGATGCATGGGTGCATGGGTGCATGGGTGCACGGGTGCACGGGTGCATGGGTGCATGGGTGCATGGGTGCATGGGTGCTTGGGTGCATGCGTGCACGGGTGCACGGGTGCATGGGTGCATGGGTGCATGGGTGCACGGGTGCATGGGTGCATGGGTGCATGGGTGCACGGGTGCACGGGTGCATGGGTGCATGGGTGCATGGGTGCATGGGTGCATGGGTGCATGGGTGCATGGGTGCATGGGTGCACGGGTGCACGGGTGCACGGGTGCATGGGTGCACGGGTGCATGGGTGCATGGGTGCATGGGTGCACGGGTGCACGGGTGCATGGGTGCATGGGTGCACGGGTGCATGGGTGCATGGGTGCATGGGTGTATGGGTGCATGGGTGCATGGGTGCATGGGTGCATGGGTGCATGGATGCATGGGTGCATGGGTGCACGGGTGGATGGATGCATGGGTGCATGGGTGCATGGGTGCATGGGTGCATGGGTGGATGGGTGCATGGGTGGATGGGTGCATGGGTGCATGGGTGGATGGATGCATGGGTGCATGGGTGCACGGGTGGATGGATGCATGGGTGCATGGGTGCATGGGTGCATGGGTGCATGGGTGCATGGGTGCATGGGTGCATGGGTGGATGGGTGCATGGGTGGATGGGTGCATGGGTGCATGGGTGGATGGATGCATGGGTGCATGGGTGCACGGGTGGATGGATGCATGGGTGCATGGGTGCATGGGTGCATGGGTGGATGGGTGCATGGGTGGATGGGTGCATGGGTGCATGGGTGGATGGATGCATGGGTGCATGGGTGCACGGGTGCATGGGTGCACGGGTGGATGGATGCATGGGTGCATGGGTGTACGGGTGGATGGATGCATGGATGCATGGGTGCATGGGTGCATGGGTGCATGGGTGCATGGATGAATGGGCGCATGGATGCATGGGTGCATGGATGCATGGGTGCATGGATGAATGGGCGCATGGATGCATGGGTGCATGGTTGGATGGTTGCATGGGCGCATGGGTGCATGGGTGCATGGATGCATGGTTGCATGGGTGCATGGATGCATGGATATGCATGGGCGCATGGGGGCATGGGTGCATGGGTGCATGGGCGTATGGGTGCATGGGCGCATGGGTGCATGGGTGCATGGGTGCATGGGCGCATGGGTGCATGGGCGCATGGGTGCATGGGTGCATGGGTGCATGGGCGCATGGGTGCATGGGCGCATGGGTGCATGGGTGCATGGGCGCATGGGTGCATGGGTGGATGGGCGCATGGATGCATGGATGCATGGGTGCATGGGTGCATGGCCGAATGCACGGATGAAGGGAGGGGAGCATGCGTAGGCATGCAAAGCTGGGGATGAGGAAGATGTGCAAGCCTTACCCTGTGCACCGCCCACTCACCTTGCCCACACACGCCCTGTGCATTGCCCACTCACCTTGTCCACATTGCATACAGAACAGCAGCACAGCACAGCAGCGCATGGCACAGCATAGCATAGCACAGGACATGGCATAGCGCATGGCACAGCACAGCACAGCACAGCACAGCACAGCACAGCACAGCACAGCAGAAGCCAATCGCCACGCCTGCACGCACCTTGTCCATGCGGTACCAGCACGGCTGGCCTCGGCGGGTGATTGAACTATCCATGATGTCATCGACCACCAGGAAGTAGGCCTGCAGCTGCAGGGGGTAGCAGGGGAAGAGGGGGGGCAGGGGAAGCGCGTGGGGGGGAGGAGGGGAGGGTTGGGGAGTTCAGGGCGGGTGATGGAGCTATCCATGATTTCATCGACCACCAGGAAGTAGGCGTGCAGCTGTAGGGGGTAGCAGGGGGGAGGGCGGCAGCGGGAAGGGAAGGTGGTTTGGGTGGGAAGGGGGGGTGAGGGTGCGGTGGGGAGGGTGAGGGCCGTTGATGGATGTAGCTATCCATGAGGTCATCGATTGACAGGAAGTAGGCCTGCAGCCGCAATGGGGGGCAGGGAGGAGGGGTTGGGGGTGGGTGGGGATGCATGGAGGGCTGAGAAGATGGCGTGATGGAGAGAAGAGCCCTGGCGGGTGATGGAGCTATCCATGATATCATTGGTCACCAAAAAGTAGCCCTGCAGCTGCACATGGAGCAGATGGGAGAGGAGGGAGGGGAAGGCTGGTATAGGGGCAGGGGGAGGGTGTGTCGTGAGCCATACCCATTCGATGCAGCAGCCATACCCCACTCAACTCAATACGCCAACCACAATCACAACATTCACCAGCCATAACTGTTCAATGTACCAGCCATACCCATTCAATTCACCAGCCGTACACCTTTAATACACCTGCCATACCCATTCAGTTCACCACTAGCTATGCACATTCAACAAACACCCATGGGGCCATACCCATTCGATGCACCAGCCGACAGCACTGGCTTTGAAGACCTCATCTTCCGATAGCTTATCGAAGCCGCCCTTGAGAATCCCCACCGTGTCCACCACTGACAGCCCACGGTTCAGCTTGCCTGGTGTGCACAGTAGGGGGGGGAGGGAGGTGAGAGGCATAGCGCACACAGGAAGGTGAATGGGAGACGGCTTGACTGAAGATGCACTTGAGAATCCCCACTGTGTCCACCACCCCAATGTGTCTACCAATGCGCTGATCAGAGTGCGTTGAGCAGAATGTGCTTATCAGAGTGTGCTGACTAGAGTGTACCAGATGAATGGGCACAACAAACAGGCTGCCGAGGTGGCATGGCGAGCACTGACAGGGCAGCAGCACGAGCATACCTCCGGGCACATTGTGGTCGATGTTCTGACGAGCGGTGTCGTCCCACAGCCGAGCCGAGCCCAGCCGAGCACAGAGGCGACAAACACGAGAGTTGAGTTGAGGAGCACAGCGCGGCGTCCACGTGGAGATCGGGAGGGCGATGGGGACAGGGACGGCCATGGAGAGGGGATTGGGAGGAGTTGGTTGGGAAGGAGATGGAGGGGAGATGGGAGGAGATGGGGAGGAGATGGGGAGGAGATGGGGAGGAGACGGGGAGGAGATGGGGAGGAAACGGGGAGGAAACGGGGCGGAGACGGAGAGGGTAAAGCATGCAGAGAGGAGCGGTGAGCCTAAAAACAGGGGACTATACTGCATGTGAACTTCAGCACGTTCGAGATGCCTAGTAGCCTACAAACAGGGCCCTACACTGCATGCGATCCGCAGCACGCCATCCTGAACGCACCTTCCACGTTTTCGAATCCAGCGTGCACGAGAACAGCTTGTCCTCTCCAGCAGCTCCGCCTTGACCTGCTTGAGCCTCACAGCCTCTCTACCGTACACTGCAAGTGAGCACCAAGTGATCCGCTCCGCAGCACGCCATCCTGCACGCACCTTCTCCATCCACGCTTTCGAGTCCGGCGTGCAAGAGAACAGCTTGTCTTCGCCCAGCAGCTCTCCCTTGAGCTGCTCAAGTCTCATACAGCCTCTACCCTACACTGCAAGTGATCCGCACCACGTTACCCTACACGCACCTTCTCCATCCATGTTTTCGAGTCCGGCGTGCACGAGAACAGCTTGTCTTCGCCCAGAAGCTCCGCACTTACGCTTCGCACAAACCATATGGGTAATTAACGCACTTACTCCTAGTACCAACGATATGGGTAAGTAACGCACTTGCTCTTCGTACCAACCATATGGGTAAGTAATGCACTTACGTTTTAGTACCAACTATATGGGTAAGTAACGCGCATACGTATCAACCATATGGGTAAATAACGCACTTACTCTTCGTACCAACCATATGGGTAAGTAACGCACTAACTGTTAGTACCAACCATATGGGTAAGTAACGCACTTACTCTTCGTACCAACCATATGGGTAGGTAACGCACTTACGCTTCGCACAAACCATATGGGTAATTAACGCACTTACTCTTAGTACCAACTATATGGGTAAGTAACGCACTTACTCTTAATACCAATTGCAAGGATAGGTAATGCACTTACTCTTCGTACCAACCATATGGGTAGGTACCGCACATACTCTTCGCACCAACCATATGGGTAAGTAACGCACTTACTCTTAATACCAACTGCAAGGATAGGTAATGCACTTACTCTTTGTACCAACCACATGGGTAAGTATCACACTTACTCTTCGTACCAACCACATGGGTTAGTAACGCACTTACTTTTAGTACCAACCATATGGATAAGTAACGCACTTACTCTTCGTACCAACCATATGGGTAAGTAACGCACTTACTCTTAGTACCAACCATATGGGTAAGTAGCGCACTTACTCTTATTACCAACCATATGGGTAAGTAACGCATTTACTTTTAGTACCAACTACAAGGATACGTAATGCACAAATTCTTTGTACCAACGACATTGGTAAGTATCACACTTACTCTTCGTACCAACCATATGGATAAGTAACGCACTTACTATTCGTACCAACCATATGGGTAAGTATCACACTTACTCTTCGTACCAACCATATGGGAGTAACGTACTTACTGTTAGTACCAACAATATGGGTAAGTAACGTACTTACTCTTCGTACCAACCATATGGGTAAATAACACACTTACTCTTAGTACCAACTGCAAGGATAAGTAATGCACTTACTCTTCGTACGAACCACATTGGTAAGTATCACACTTACTTTTTGTACCCACCATATGAAGAGGTAACACTCTTACTGTTAGTACCAAGCATATGGGTAAGTAACGCACTTACTCTTAGTACGAATCATATGGGTAAGTAACGCACCTACTCCTAGTACCAACCATATGGATAAGTAACGCAGTTATTCTTCGTACCAACCATATGGGTAAGTAACACACCTACTCTTTGTACCAACTATATGGGTAAGTAACGCACTTACTCTTAGTACCAACCGCAAGGATATGAAATGCACTTACTGTTCGTACCAACCACATGGGTAAGAAACACACTTACTCTTCGTACCAACCATATGGTTAAGTAACGCACTTACTCTTAGTTCAAACTATATGGGTAAGTAACGCACTAACTGTTAGTACCAACCATATGGGTAAGTAACGCACTTACTCTTCATAACAACCATACGGGTAAGTAACGCACTTACTCTTCGTACCAACCATATGGGTAAGTAACGCACTAACTGTTAGTACCAACCATATGGGTAAGTAACGCACTTACTCTTCGTACCATCCATATGGGTAAGTAACGCACTAACTGTTAGTACCAACCATATGGGTAAGTAACACACTTACTCTTCGTACCAGTAAAGCACTTACTCTTCGTACCAACCATATGGGTAAGTAACACACTTACTCTTCGTACCAACGATATGGGTAAGTAACGCACTTACTCTTCGTACCAACCATATAAGTAAGTAACGCCCTTAATATTCGTATCAGCCATATGGGTAAGTAACGCACTAACTGTTAGTACCAACCATATGGGAATGTAACGCACTTGCTCCAGCGACTCTGGTCCACCGCCGAACTCCAGGGCGGTGTCACGCGTGTTGGCGAGGTAGGCGAGGCAGCGGTCGACCTCGCGCCAGTGCTGGTCGCTCCTCACCATGAGGCCGCTCCCCAGCTTGCTGCAGGCGAAGGCGATGTCCGGCCTCGTCGTCGCGCCGCGAACTGCAGCGAGCCGACCTTCTGCCGGTACTCCTCCTCCTGTCGCTCCTGTGCCTCCTCTTCGTCGAAGGTGAGCTCGGCGTAGGCGTCGACCGAGACCGGCGTCTTCGGAGTGCGCCCGGTCTGTTCTTCGGCGATGAAGCACCTACGCAGCTTGTCGGCGTAGCCCTGCTGGTGCAGCCACAGCTTCCCCGCCGACCTGTCGCGGACGATCTCCAGCCCGAGGTACTTCTGCACCGGCGAGATCTCACGCAGCTCAAAGGCGGACTCCAGCAGCTCTTTCAGCTCCTTCAACATCTCGGTGCTGCTGCTGGCGGCGAGCAGGTCGTCGACGTAGACCAGCACCCAGCAGGCCACTCCGTCGTCGTCGACCTTGAAGTACAGGGCCTCGTCGACCTGGCTCTTCTTCCACCCGGCGCCGACCAGCACGTCATTGAGGGCCAAGTACCACAGCAGCGGCGACTGCTTCAGGCCGTACAGGCTCTTCAGGAGCTTGCACACCTGGCCGGTTCCGTCGTTGAAGTAATCCGGCTGGGACATGTAGAGCACCCGGTCGAGCTTGCTCTGCAGGAAGGCGTTCTTCATGTCGAGCTGCAGCAGGTTGAGGTTGAGCACGGCGACGATGCTGAGGAAGATCCTCTGCGTGACATAGCTGCTCACCGGCGCGTACGTCTCGTCGTAGTCGGCACCATACCCCTGTGTGAAGCCCTTCACGACCAGCCTCGCCTTCTCGCGCTCGACGGTGTCGTCGATGCGGTACTTCGTCGTCAGCACCCACCGATTCTTCATGATGTTCACCCCTGGTGGGCGTTCGACCAGCTCCCAGGTTCCCATGCTGATGAGGCTGCGGATTTCCTCCTCCATGGCGGCCTTCACCGCCGGACCCTTCCAACTCGCCAACGCCTCCTTCACCGTCATCGTCGAGATGTCCCAACGGTGCTTGGGGTCGGCATGCATGTCGGGGTCGAGCTCCGGAAACTCCTCATCCTCCTCGACGTCGTACACCGTGGTGAAGGCAGCGGGGACGAGGAAGTCGGGTGGCCTACGAAGTCGGCCTGACTTCCGGGGTTCAGGCGGAACCTCCACCACGTCACTCTTGGTGGAATCCTCGGCGTCCTCCTCCCCCTCGTCGTCCTGCTGTAGCTCAGTCGACTTCCTGGCCGACTTCTCCCCTGTGGTCGGCTTCCCTGCCGTCTGCCCGGTGTCCGACTGCTCCGTGGTCGGCTTTACCGCTGCCTGCTCCCCTGTCGGCTGCTTCTCCTCGACTTGCTCCTCCCCTATCAAATCGACTTGCCGCTCAGCACGTCGGCCACCGGCGATGCCCTTGGTCGGCGCCGAAGGCGACGGCCCACTACTCCCCTCATCGCCGGAGGCCGACGTCGAGGTCAGCCCGCGCATGTCGGCCAGGAGCGGAGGGGCAGGGGTCGTAGAAGGAGGGGTAGGAAAGCGGACGTCCTCGACGTCCTCAGCAGCAGGCTCACTGACCTCGGCGAGCAGGGGCAGTGTCGCCGACGAGGTGTCGGTTGGCGGGGTGGTCGGCGTTCGCCCGTGCACCGGCCCGTGCTCCGACTTCCACACCTCCATCGACATGTCTTTGTAGAACGCCACGTCCGACGTGGTCACCACCCGGTTGGCGTCGACATCGAGGAGCTCCCAGCCCTTGCTCGCCGCCGACACTCCAAGGTGAAGGCCCCACCTGGCCTTCGGCTTCAGCTTCCCACCACGCTGCTGCTCGGTGACACTGCGCCATGCAGCCCCACTCCCGGGCCAGCGACAAGTCGGGCTTCTGCCCGGTGAGCAGCTGGTACGGTGTCGTCCCCGGCGGCAGCGTCGACCTCTCAAGGCAGTTGCGGACCCAGACGGCCTGCCGCAGAGCGAGGTGCCACCAGTGGTGCTGCACGCCCATGTGCAGCAGCATCGTCCGCACCGACTCCACCACCATCCTCATCTCCCGCTCCGCCATGCCGTTTTGCTGCGGGGTGTACGGGCAGGTGAGGTCGTGGACGATCCCCTTGCCATCCACGAAGTCGGTGAACTTCTTCCCGAGGAACTCCCCACCTCGATCGGAGCGAAGCATCAGCACCGACTTCTTCGCCTGCCTCTCCACCAACACCAGCCACTTCTGGAACTCCAGCAGCACATCCGACTTCTTGGCGACCGGCCTCACCCACACGAAGCGGGTCTTGCGGTCCTTCAGCAGCAGGAAGTACAAGCTGCCGTCCTTGGCAGCCACGCGGAACGGCCCGCACAGGTCGATGTGCACGACGGCCAGCACGTCGTCGGCGTCGGAGCCTTGGTCGGGGAAGGTGTGCCGCTCCAGCTTCCCGCCGACGCACGAGACACACGGTGAGTCGGCGCCCGTCGCCGACTTGAGGTCCAGCCCAGTGGCGACCTCGTGCTTCGCCGAGCTCCGTATGGTGTCCATGCCGACATGTGCAAGCCTCGCATGCATCCTGTCCGACGTCGACTTGTCTTCGAGACGATCGCCCGCATGGCCACAACCTCCGGCGTGGGCGA